GCTCTCACTGGTCAACTGGGTCCGCCGCGACTCTGGCAGATTTCGACTACCGGCGGAGGGGTCCGATCGATTGTCTGAGAATGTGGATGACCCGACAATCGCATGCGATTGGCTTCTGAGATTTATACCTTTGCAGAGAGTGTGCCTTAACTACCCGTGCAAGGAACAACTTGGACGAATCCCAGAGACCAGCTTTGAAGTAGAGGCTTGAGGTCGGTCCGAAAGCCCCTCATATGTGGCCATCATCAAGCAGTAGCGAGCAGGGTGGCGCTCGTTACATAAAGAATGTTTCTTATTGCCGCCCACACCATCTCACTATGAAAGGCACTCACTTAGGCAGCCTTTCGGAAACAGACATATTCTGTTTGGAATCAGCTTGAAGGCTGAGGACATGTTGTTCCTAGAGCGTCAGGTAAGTTCATGAATTGTTCCGAAGCGAGTTATTGAAGTTTTCTGTGCAAAATTTGCATGCTCATCAACTTACTGTCCACGGTACAATTAGTAAGTGCCGATAAGTTGCATTAATTCTTAGTCAGCAAGAAAAGACTCCATGATGTCGTTTTTCATGTCCCAGCACCTTTTTCAAGCACACTCCTACCTGTTAAGTATTATGCCAATCTAGCACATAAAGCTCATAAATCGCTCCAGAATAATGCTTCACAGCTAAGATGACACAAACTAATTCCACTTTCATATGTCTTTCAAGAGCAACCTAACAATAAGAAGGTGCCTTCCCTTGTCAGTGATGACAGCTTTTAGGAGACCATAAGCCTATATTGACAGTTGTATACCAGTGGGATTCACCCGATTACTGCTCCCTGGTGAAGGCGCATTATCTACTGCCTAAGCGCACCACTATACTGCTTGGCAAGCAAGTTTTTGAAAAGTGCTTAGTTGATAGCTGAAGTCAAAGTCTGAATGCTCCTAACATCTATGAAAAGATATGGAAGGCATGGTTTGCCTAGTTGTTTTGCTTGGACTCAGATAAAGATACGGCATGTGAATGAATACCAATTCAACAAGTTGCTTCGAATTTTTATTGGGGAATACATTCATTTCAAAGTAGTTATGATTGGGACAGAAACGACTAATTAGTTGGATCGTCTTTGATGACTCTGAAAATAGAGTTTGACATTATATAATCACAGACTTAAAAAGTGATTGGAAAGCAATCCTGGCTCACCATAAATCGATGTTTGAGTTGATACTATTGTTTTTTCAATAAGGGTAGTAGCCTTAGTAGTATGGTGTCCAAGTCCAGATAATAACTGGAATCAAATACATTATGTATGACCTAGTCGCAGCACTGTCACTTCGTATAATGAGAGGCAGAAACGATTACGGTACTTTGTTATAAGGCTAGCGAAACTTCTTGGGAATCTGACAGCCGTGTTGGCCTTGTTAATGGACGTAGCCAATCAACTACTTCTCTCCATAGGACGTTTGATGTAATCAAGCTTAGCCCAGTGTGAGTCTGAGCTGCTCAAGCAGAGCGAAATTAGTGAAATCAGACTCACCTCTCCTAGATCCACCTGTCAACTTAGCCCTCCAATGCTAAAAATGCAAACAAACTACTAAATCGATAGAATACACCAAGAATTTTCAAACTAATGTTAATTATGACATCTGTTTCAATCCTATAGCATGCAAGGTTTGATGCGATTCTACTTCTATATTTGATGCCGTCATACCCATGTACCTTAGATTGATGTACATTAATCATTTGTACATCTGGAGCTTTTGCGATATCAGTACCCAAAGATCATTGCTCTGTACTTACTTGATTCTTCCGTTGTTGTTGTTGTTGTTGGAGCGGCTGTTGTGGCTGAATGGAAAGTGTAAACATTTGTGCAATGTGAAGTTTTCGAGCAGTTTGCAATAACACTTACTGGAAGGTTCTTTCTGGCAAAGAGGGCCAACGGTGTCATTAGCTGTTTCACAAACAGCGCCTTTGATTACTTTGTTACATGGACTGTTCTTAGTGCATCCTTTCTTGCCCGTCGAGTCTGCCGAATACAGTGGCTCATTCAGCTGCGGCCTAGAAAAGTTATTGGATGAAGACAAATAGGCGTGTTGGCTATTATAGATAATAGGTTTTGTAATCAGAATGACTAAAGGGCGGGCACACTTTACGCGATTTCAGTCGCGACGCGATTTGGCAATATTCACTGTCCTAAATCACTGTAACCATATTCAAATGTACAGAAGATAGGTCATTTTATGAACCCATAATGTAAATTATACAAACCATTCATGTGAAGTTTGCTAGTGTTGCATCCGAAGACTTCTAGCGAATTGCCAAATCGCGTCGCGACTGAAATCGCGTGAAGTATGCCCGGCCCTTAAGGCTCTTATGTAACGCCTCGGGCAGAGTTCATGCAGTTTCATCGCCGCGATTCTTGCAGCAAAACAAACAATTACGAGTTCATTGCATGCCGATCTTCTTGTATTTCGGTTTTAATAGAGTCACGATTAGTCGTGTTGGAGAACTATCACAACCGAAATGCGAGAAGATCGGCATGCAATGAATTGTTACAGTTGTCTTGTCACGATTTAAACGCCGTGATCTTCATCCATTTTCATTTATATTCAAAAATTCCGAGCTGGACGAAATGCAAGCTGATCGGCATGTAATGGACTCGTAACAGTTATTTCGTCGGGGGAATCACGAGGCGATGGAATTGCGTTATGTATGCTCGGCATCTCAGCGCCATGATTGACACGGATCCATTCTGCTGCTAGTGGAAGCGGTTTGCTTGTCGATTTTGAGCAAGTGCTTGGAACTACGTTAGTCAGCTTACTTGTTCTCGTATACACACGCGATAGCAACTTTGCCGTTGGCCTCACAGAATTGGTAAGAGCACCCGAATTTCAACGTTATAGAGATCGAAATGTCCTTCCTTCATGTGAATTTGATTCAGTAGCAAAATGATTATAGAAACGTACATTAGCAAAAGGTTCTATAGACGTATCTGTGTACATGACGTCTGCGCTCAGAGGACTTTCGACAGTCTCACTCCAATCTTCGACGGCCCATTTAAGCATCTCAGCAAGCTTTTTGTTACCAGGCTTACTCTCTGCTCTGTATCTGAAAAGTGCTAAGTGAGTTGTAAAAACCTTGATTGTGCTTGACCACTTGACCACATGTAGACCAATGCATGCTTACGTTATAAAGTTTTCTCCTCTTCCTATCACGCTCATGTAGATCGATGAATGTTTGCAATCTTTTCCAATGGTTGACATTGCAAATCCTTCATTAGTACAATCATACTCCTGAAAGTCTTCGGAAGGGTCTGTCGGCGAAGGTTCCAAACTACTTCGAAAAAGGCTGCTCTCAAAAATAAAAGGAAAGAGCGATTTGTCGCTCATCTGGTCCAATTTGTAGTATCTATTATGAAGTTGGCGGATTTGACTTACTAATTTGAAAAGGCTTTTTGTTCCTGGCAGTTCTCCGTAAATCTCCTTGTCTAAAGCACGTGTAGCAACTTGTGCTCTGAGGTCGTTATGAGCCTTTGTGGCTGCTTCAATTAGTGCAGCGGGAAGCTTGCATGTGGCTAGAGTAACAAAATATTGAGCTAAGCGTCCACTTTTTGAAAGAAAGGTTGTTTATGCTTGGATACTTTTTGAGTCTATACTCACCCGCTATCGCTCCTTGAACGGCGATCGAGCAAAGCTAAAGTACATTTTTTACATGGATTATTCAAAGAAACTTTGATTATAATTACCAGTAGCGCGAAAACCATTACACCTCTTTTCCTGTGTTTGTAGGCTTCTGCAAATAGATATGAAAGCAGTAGGATATAAGGAAAGGATAAGTAGGATAAGATGCGTTAGGATAGTAGGATAAGGTACGCAGACATATTCTTTGAATTTTGTACAACTTCACAAAGCATTCAAGATCTTTGAACTTATTGCATTGAAACACACTTTTCCCCTGCTATTATCGTTGAAGGGAAAAGAAGAGGAATTGATGTGCTAGCATGCGGCCTCCCGTTTATATACATCCACAGTCAATAGAAGATCGTAATTCACTGCTTTAACTAAAATTCTCACACTCCGTTCGGTGGAAACAGAGACGAGGAAATATGGATTGTTCAAATAAATTTAGCTCATTTGCATTTATAACACAGCTATGGTTATAGCTGTATCCACTGCACTGAATTTGAACATGGGAAAATTTCCTTATACGATATGTACTCATGTACGTTTCGCTGTAAGTTGAATTGGTTTGAAAACAGAGTATGATTTTCACTGTAACGGTAATTTGCTATTGGATGGTACCTTAAAAAATGGCGAAGGTTATAGAAAGTATTTTGTGGATGCTAAAAATAGCTTTATAATAAATCAATTTTTTTTTCACAAAAGTCGTGCTGTCGGAACGAGTTCTCTTAGAAGCAACAACTAAGCAGTCCAAATTCATCTCTTTGGGAACAGTCTCCATGTACATGTTCGCTCTTAGCCTGTTATTATAAGTAATGATATTTGTGACTGAGAAACGCATGTTCTCCTTTCAGCACAGAAATTCCTACCACCGAAACCACATAATCGTCTATCCGAACGATATCAAGAACGTGCAAGGATCCCGTACTGTTTTGCAACTGAAGAGGGGGAAAAGCTGAGAGGGCTGTGAATAGTTTGTCGAGTAGATTGTTCGAACGACTGCAAGAGAAAGTTGCGGGCATTTGAGAACAGTGTGCCTCAGGAAATTCAGATGCAACTCTAGTAGATTTGAGGTTTTTGAGCTCAGAAGTCTCATTCAGATCATGAATGAGTGAGACTTCTGAGCTGAATCATCCAACAATTGCATTATTTTCACAAAAAGGTCAAATGATTGCGTACGATGTGCGATCGAATAGCTGGTCCACATCCAACCTGGCTGAAAAAGAGGTTCCGGCATCCACCTAAGCGAAATCTTCTGCTACTTCTCTCGAACCATGCCGATTCGTAAGCAGCAAAAATGATTGATAAAAACAAAAAAACTTAAAGTCCGCTCTATCCGAATGACTCTTGCGGTGTTGAAGAAGCCAAGTCGAGCGAACATGTACATGGAGACCATTCCCAAAGAGATGAATTTGGACTGCTTAGTTGTTGTTTCTAGGAGAACTCGTTTCGACAACACGATTTTTGTGAAAGAAATTGATCTTATTTATAAAGCTGAATGTCTGTTTGTCTGTCTGTCTGTCTGTTTGTATGTCTGCATGTCTGTCTTACGTATGTTCCGAATAGAAAATTCCATTTCTGAACCGATCCGGACCAAACTTGGCATACATACACTTCGGGCCCCGGCGGGTGTCATAGGCTACTTTTCGTCATCGATCGATATCGATTTTACGATTTTTATCGATTTTTTTTGCAGAGTTCACCTACGGGGGTGGGAGTTGGCACAGGGGGTAATCGAGCATGGGGATTCCGAATACGATATTAGTTTTCAGGATTATCGATTACTTTTATCGATTTTTATCGATTTTTTGCAAAGTTTGAGCTACGGGGCTGGGAGTTTGCACGGGGGAATAATCGAGCATGCTGATTACGAATACAATATTAGTTTTTGAAATCGTCCATTACTTTTATCGATTTTATCGATTTTTTGCAAAGTTTGAGCTACAGGGCTGGGAGTTGGCACAGGAGGGGTAAGTGGGCATGCTGATTTCGAAAACAACACAGGAAACGGGAAATGAAGTGTAGAAGTGGGCAAAGGGAAAGGCTGTACAGGGATAGGGATGGGACCTTTATTACAGTGTTTTCACAGGGCCGGGCGGAGCCGGGTAAGCAAGCTAGTTTATTATAAAGCTATTCTTAGCATTCACAAAACACTTTCTGTAACCTTGGCCATTTTTTACGGTACCATCCAATAGCAAGTTACCGTTACAATGAGAATCATACTCTGTTTTCAAACCAATTCAACTTACAGCGAAACGTACATCAGTGCATATTGTACAAGGAAATCTTTCCATGTTCAAATTCAGTGCAGTGAGTACAACTATAACCATAGCTGTGTTATAAATGCAAATGAGCTAAATTTATTTGAACAATCCATATTTCCTCGTCTCTTTTTCCACCGAACAGAGTGTGAGAATTTTGGTTAACAGTGAATTACTATCTTCTATTGACTGTAGATGTATATAAACGAGAGGCCGCATGCTAGCACATCAATTCCTCTTCTTTTCTCTCCAACGATAATAGCAGAGGAAGAATGTTGTTTCAATGCAATAAGTTCAAAGATCTTGAGAGCATTGTGAAGTTGTACAGAATTTGAAGAATATGTCCGCGTATCTTATTACTATCCTATCGCATCCTATCCTACTTAACTTTATATCCTACTGCTTTCATATCTATTTGCAGAAGAATACAAATACAAGGAAAGAGGTTGCAATGCTTTTCGCGCTACTGGTAATTATAATCAAGGTTGCTTTGAATAATCCATGTAAAAAATGCACTTTAGCTCTGCTCAATCGCCATTCAAGGAACGATAGCAGGTGAGTATAGGCTCAAAAAGTATCCAAGCATGCACCAGTCTTCTAAAGAATGGACGCTTAGCTCAATATTTTGTTGCTCTAGCCACATGCAAGCTTCCCGCCGCACTAATTGAAGCAGCCACAACGGCTCATAACGACCTCAGAGCACAAGTTGCTAGACGTGCTTTGGACAAGGAGATTTACGGAGAACTGCCAGGGACAAAGAGCCTTTTCAAATTAGTAAGTCAAATTTGAATAAGTTGGTCAAGTTCAAATCATGATAGATACTAGTGAAATTGGGATTCTGGAACCTTCGTCGACAGGCCCTTCTGTAGGCTTTTAATTTTATAAGAGTTCACAGGAGTATGATTGTACTAATGAAGGATTTGCACAGTCAGCTATTGGAAAAGATTGCAAACATTCATCAATCTACATGAGCGTGATAGGAAGAGGAGAAAACTTTATAACGTAAGCATACATTTCTCTAGATGTGATTAGCGGTCAAGTACAATCAAGGGTTTTACGACTCACTTAGTAGTTTTCAGATACAGAGCAGAGAGTAAGCCTGGTAACAAAAAGCTTGCTGAGATGCTTAAATGGGCCGTCGAAGATTGGAGTGAGACTGTCGAAAGTCCTCTGAGCGCAGACGTCATGTACACAGATACGTCTATAGAACCTTTTGCTAATGTACGTTTTCATGATTGTTTTGCTACTGAATCAAACTTACATGAAAGAAGGACATTTCGATCTCTATGCTTAACTTCCAGATGATTTATAATAAGACGTTGAAATTCGGGTGCTCTTACCAATTCTGTGAGGCCAACGGCAAAGTTGCTATCGCGTGTGTATACGAGAGCAAGTAAGCTGACTAACGTAGTTCGTACCAAGCACTTGCTCAAAATTGACAAGCCAATCGCGTTCAACTAGCAGCAGAAGGGATCTGTGTCAATCTTATGACGCTGAGATGTCGGGCGTACATCACGCGATTCCATCGCCTCGTGATTCTCCCGACAAAATAACTGTTACGAGTCCATTACATACCGATCATCTTGCATTTCGGTTGTTGCAGTTTGCCGACTCGACTAATCGAGAATAACTATCACAAACGAGATACAGGATGATTGCCTTGTAATGAACTCGTGACAGCTGTTTGTCAGGAGAGTCGCGAGGCGATGAAATCGCGTGAAGTATGCCCGCCCCTTGAGTCATTCTGATTAAAAAACCTATTATTACTTATAATAACGGGCTAAGGATGTTTACGTGACTTTGTGTGTGTGTCTGAGAGTGTGTCTGTTACGAAATTCGTAGAGCGTGTTCCAGCCAACCTCCTGGGCTCAAATTTTGCACAGCGCATGCTACCCGCGTGAAAGTCCAACACGCAAAAGCACGAGCAGCTTCGTTGAGTGTAACCCTCAGAAACTGCGTGTCAAACGGATCCCCTTTGCATTTGGGCCGCAAAGTTGGGTACGTAATTCCACTTTTTTCAGAGTCGTGGATGTTTGTGCCAAGTAAATGTGCAAGCCATGAACTTAGGCTCAAAAAATTGATCAAATGTCCATTACTTTACAAAAACGGCGCCAAAAAGTATTGGTTGCGTAAATGGTCAATTTGCTAAGATTTTACCCGACCATTTGACGAAACTTTTGCGCAAAGTTGTAGCTCACGGTGACTGCTGTTCTTACTGCAACTGTAAAGGCCATGAGAAAATCAAAAACCTATAAAAATTTGCATTTGTTTTCCTGCAAAAAGTCTCATCCACGCGAAATCACCGATTTCCCATAAAAAAGCTTTTTGAATGAGTAGTTGTTTACATTTTGTTCGTGATAGTCGGCATTGCTCGGTGAGTTCCAATGCCATCATTATACGAGAATGAGTAGGGCCTAGAGCAGAGCCAGTGCGAGCCTCTGCGAAGCAGAGGTGACGCACTGGTCTGTAATAATCAACACACCTATTTGTCTTTATCCATACACTTTTCTAGGCCGCAGCTGAATGAGCCACTGTATTCGGCAGACTCGACGGGCAAGAAAGGATGCACTAAGAACAGTCCATGTAACAAAGTAATCAAAGGCGCTGTTTGTGAAACAGCTAATGACACCGTTGGCCCTCTTTGCCAGAAAGAACCTTCCAGTAAGTGTTATTGCAAACTGCTCGAAAACTTCACGTTGCACAAATGTTTACACTTTTCATTCAGCCACAACAGCCGCTCCAACAACAACAACAACGGAAGAATCAAGTGAGTACAGAGCAATGATCTTTGGGTACTGATATCGCAAAAGCTCCAGATGTACAAATGATTAATGTACATCAATCTAAGGTATATGGGTATGACGGCATCAAATATAGAAGTAGAATCGCATCAAACCTTGCATGCTATAGGATTGAAACAGATGTCATAATTAACATTAGTTTGAAAATTCTTGGTGTATTCTATCGATTTAGTAGTTTGTTTGCATTTTTCGCATTGGAGGGCTAAGTTGACAGGTGGATCTAGGAGAGGTGAGTCTGATTTCACTAATTTCGCTCTGCTTGAGCAGCTCAGACTCACACTGGGCTAAGCTTGATTACATCAAACGTCCTATGGAGAGAAGTAGTTGATTGGCTAAGTCCATTAAAGGCCAACACGGCTGTCAGATTCCCAAGAAGTTTCGCTAGCCTTATAACAAAGTACCGTAATCGTTTCTTCCTCTCATTATACGAAGTGACAGTGCTGCGACTAGGTCATACATAATGTATTTGATTCCAGTTATTATCTGGACTTGGACACCATACTACTAAGGCTACTACCCTTATTGAAAAAACAATAGCATCAACTCAAACATTGATTTATGGTGAGCCAGGATTGCTTTCTAATCACTTTTTGAGTCTATGATTATACAATGTCAAACTCTATTTTCAGAGTCATCAAAGACGATCCAACTAATTAGTCGTTTCTGTCCCAATCATAACTACTTTGAAATGAATGTATTCCCCAATACAAATTCGAAGCAACTTGTTGAATTGGTATTCATTCACATGCCGCATCTTTATCTGAGTCCAACCGAAACAGCTAGGCAGACCATGCCTTCTATTTCTTTTCAAAGATGTTAGGAGCGTTCAGATTTTGACTTCAGCTATCAACTAAGCACTTTTCAAAAACTTGCTTGCCAAGCAGTGTAGTGGTGCGCTTGAGCAATAGATAACAATAGATAATGCGCCTTCACCAAGGAGCAGTAATCGGACGAATCCCACTGGTATACAACTGTCAATATAGGCTTATGTTCTCCTAAAAGCTGTCATCACTGACAAGGGAAGGCACCTTCTTATTGTTAGTTTGCAAAAAGGACATGTGCAAGTGGAGTTGGCTTGAAACGCTGATAACAAGTGTGTCATCCTAGCTGCGGAGCATTATTCTGGAGCGATTTACGAGCTTTATGTGCTGAATTAGCATACTACTCAACAGATAGAAGTTTGCTTGAAAAAGGTGCTGGGACATGAAAAACGACGCCATATCGAGTCCCTTCTTGTTGATTGAGAATCAACGCAACTTATCGGCACTTAATGGGTGTACCGTGGCCAGTAAGTTGATGAGCATGCAAATTTTCACAGAAAACTTCAATAACTCGCTTTAGAATAATTCATTACTCACTCGCCGCATCTAGGAACAGCATACCCGAAATCAGCCCTTCACGCTAATTTCAAATCGAATATGTCTGTTTCCGAAAGACTGTCTAAGTGAGTGCCTTTCATAGTGAGATGGTGTGAGCGGCAATAAATACAATCCTTTATTGCCACCCACATGTAACGAGCGCCACCCTGCTCGCTACTGCTTGATGATGGCCACATATGAGTGGCTTTCGGACGCTCCTCAAGCCTCTACTTCAAAGCTGTCTCTGAGATTCGTCCAAGTTGTTCCTTGCACGGGTAGTTAAGGCACACTCTCTGCTAAGATACAAATCTCAGAACCCAATCGCATGCGATTGTCGGGACATCCTCATTAGTCACCCGTAATTTCATGGAAGTGCCTCCGTGCAACCGTCTTAAGCGACTTCGTTAATTCTTGGGGTGCAAAAGCGATCTTTTCAACCGTTCGACTATGTCGTATTTTTGCTCGAAGGTATGGTGTGCATTACTGCAGAAGTTGGACCTACTGAAGCAAATACATAAACTTCAATCAGTAAAGTGGAGGATCTTTAAATGATTCGTTTCATCGGGCGATTGTCAATCGGGCAAGATACCCTTTATTTACGAGACCAATTTCAAACTTCAGACAAAGCAACAACTTCAGACAACCAGACAAAATCTGAGCTAAAACGTGAGTTGGTATAGGGAACTGTGCATGCTGGCGAATGTAGTATTCACCTACAAGTTTGTCCATTGCATTCATTGATTCGATTTTTGCAAACGAGCTGTATCGGCTTAACTTTGGATTGGAGAGCACCTTGCAAATAAACACGGTGTTGGTGGAGAACTGCCTACGGGAATGAGGGAGGGTACGGAGATTTTGCATAAAAATGAGACGAAATGTGAGCTTTTTGTGGTATGTCGTCAGAGATCAAGCGAAGCGAACATGCTAGCTGTTCATTTATGAGCGATGTGTGTAAGCATGTATACAGGGTGTCCCAAAAAAATGTTAACACTGTTTGATCGTTAATAACTCCCTTGCTTTCAAGTCTTTCGCCGAGCTTTAGGTACCATTCTGTAGAGCGAGGATAAACTTAGATTTATAGTATCGAGCGAATCATCTAACGCTCTTCGTTACTGTAGAATTACGGTAGGAAGTTCTAAAATGTGGAACCGTCATGAAATATGCCCTCTGACGAAATTTTTTTTCAAAAAATCTGAAAAATCGTGTACTAGGGTTTTCGCGCACGCTGATTTTACTACATAACTTTTTGTGAGTGTTTTCAGCTTTTTTGATGGTGTAATCACATTTTTGGCACATGCTGGGAAGTCAGTTATTACACTTTACCTAGGATAACTTTGAAAAGAAACATCATAATGAAACTAAAATTTTATATCCGAAATCAGCGGCTTTCATCACCATAGTACAAGAGATTTTGGCTTGTTTGGCTCTGTTTCAAAGCAGAAAACGGGCTTTAATAGCTTAAAATCCTTGTCAAATTTCCTACCGTAATTCTACAGTAACGAGGAGAGTTAGATGAGTCGCTCGATACTGTAAATCTAAGTTTCTCCTCGCTCTACAAAATGGTGCCTCAAGCTCGGCGGAAAACATGAAAGCAAGGGAGTTATTAACGATCAAACAGTGTTAACATTTTTTTGGGACACCCTGTATATTTGTACTACAGTGCTGGACATAATTATACAGCCACTCTAGAAATCGTCGTAATTTTTGTTCTTGTCAATGAATCTGACTGAAACTTTGCTGTATTGTGCGCATGTCAACCTACCATAACCCCTCAAAAAGGCTTCCAGTCTTGTTGAGTTTGAATGGAGAAAAACGAAAAAAATCGAAAAAGCCCTCATTGAAAGCTGGACAAAATTATACAGCCACCTGGTTTTTCTAATCACTATCGCATTCGTTGACTCTCAAATTTTTTTGTACAATTACATCCCAAAATACGAAACATTTGCGACACTTACGGCCTGTCTTCCTACTCAAATAGAAGCAATCGCTGCATTTCTTGCTTTCAAAAGCATTAAAAGTCAATCTCCTTCAACAAACAACTGCTTTAAAGAGTTTTCAAGCTCTTGTTCATTCCAAATGATAACCATGGAATCTACTGACCCTTTTGGATAGATGAGGTGAAGAGCGCTTTCGTAAACTCTGCGTAATCGCTGATTTTGACGAACAGACTCCAACCTCACCATAGGGTTGACGCACTTTTGCACCACGAAACTCGATCTTCAAGCAACAGAAAATACTGTAATGTACCCATTACGACAGCCATACAACAGTGAACTCGTGTGCATGACTGGGAAGAAATTTCGGGACTGAGCACTCTGATTCAGCCGCAGTTGACATTCACTGAATGTTGAGTGGAGCACCCTGTACAATCAGAGCCAACTCAGATCACGAGATAAAACCGGAGACGCTTAAAACTTCAAAATCTTAGCTAATCTCATTCATCGGGTGAAATATGACATGAAACACAGACGGAAATAAGGACATCTAGGGTTATATCGAATCTTCCGCTCGCAGGGAATTTTTGTGGAAAGTATTCCAGGTCTAAATCGCTACCGCATCATTAGGAAAAATCTGAAAGTTGTTGCGAAAGCTGTATCCCCATGTAGACAATGTGATAAATCACGTTCAGCACTTTGTGGACATTGCAAACTGAGTTTTGTGGTTTAAAAGTGTTCCAAGCCTATGTTGAGGTTGGAGTCTGTCCGTCAAAATCAGCGATTACGCAGAGTTTACGAAAGCGCTCTTCACCTCATCTATCCAAAAGGGTCAGTAGATTCCATGATTATCATTTGGAATGAACAAGAGCTTCAAAACTCTTTAAAGCAGTTGTTTGTTGAAGGAGATTGACTTTTAATGCTTTTAAAAGCAAGAAATGCAGCGATTGCTTCTATTTGAGTAGGAAGACAGGCCGTAAGTGTCGCAAATGTTTCGTATTTTGGGATGTAATTTTACAAAAAAATTTGAGAGTCAACGAATGCGATAGTGATTAGAAAAACCAGGTGGCTGTATAATTTTGTCCAGCTTTCAATGAGGGCTTTTTCGATTTTTTTCGTTTTTCTCCATTCAAACTCAACAAGACTGGAAGCCGTTTTGAGGGGTTATGGTAGGTTGACATGCGCACAATACAGCAAAGTTTCAGACAGATTCATTGAAACGATTTCTAGAGTGGCTGTATAATTATGTCCAGCACTGTATGTTTGTATGTCCAGGTCAAAATTCGTTTTTGAATTAACCCGCACCGAACTTCGCACGCATATAATTAGGCATATAACTGATTTCAAATCTGCTTTCATCTGCAAAGCGCTCTTGGGAAGAGAGCTATGGGAATGTTTTTAGAGCAAAAAATTTGAGCATACGGCTACGATAATATGGTTTAGAAGTGTAATGTGTGAGCTCAAATGGAGTCATGATTATTGCCAAGGTGCTTTGCGAATAAAATCTTCAGCTCAATAAACTTATGCTAGCTATTGCTCCTTTCAAGCTCCGGAAAGACTTCAAGACCTGTTTTTACCTTAGTCAAACCCTTGAATTTTTGCCCTCAAACAAATTCCCATAAACAAAGAGATAAGTCCACAATGAGAAAGAACATTCCAAGAATTCCAAAACATCCGAAAGGTAACTACTGTTTTTTACACGACCG